CGATTAGCGTAATGGATAATGGCTGTGAATTTTTAATCATAGAGACGAGTTAAGCAACGCCGAGACTGTTCAGTGTCTAGATGGGTGACCGTTTCGGAATACCAGGTGCTGTAAGCTTGTGTCTGCGACTAGTGTAATGGATAATGGATCGGAATTGTTAATTAGAGAGACGAGTTAAGCAACACCGAGATTGTTCAGTACCTAGATGGGTGACCGTTTGGGAATACCACGTGCTGTAAGTTTGGGTGTGCGACTAGCGTAATGGATAATGGCTCGGAATTATCAATCAGAGAGACGAGTTAAGCAACAACGTGACTGTTCAGTGTCTAGATGGGTGACCGTTTCGGAATACCAGGTGCTATAATTTTAGGTCTCCGAGTAGTTTAATGGATAATAGTACATTTTTTTTTAATCAGAGAGCCACACCGAATGACCTTTGAATAATTCCAGGTGGTGTCATCTCGGATGTGCGGGTGATGTAATGAATAACGGCACAGAAATTGAAATCAGAGAGCCGCGTTCAAATTTCAGTCGGGTTCGTTATAATCATATCAGCACAAATATCCTTGGGCATGAATCCACATGTTCTCACTCCAGCTATGGGTTAAATAGTAAGATTTTATCAGTAAATCGTCATTATGCCCGCCCCCAAATCTTATATTCTAGAAATATTTGCTGGCTCTAAATAACCTAAACATGTAGATAACCCGTAAAAAACAAATCAAAACAATCAAATCTAAAGCACTACGCTTTCGGATTCAGGGTTATTCATTATCTAGCCTCCTTATCCTCACAGTTTATAATTCCTACATCCTGCTTTTACGCAGATATGTCACACTTCATTCAGTGAACCTTTAAACTGAGGGAATCTTGATTCTCCTATTGATTATGAACTAAAGGAAAAAAAACAACACTTCCACAAATATATTGTATAGAAATGTATGTATGTCAATAAATGAAACAGACACATAAGAACAGTTCTAGATAGATAGATAGACAGATAGATAGATAGATAGATAGATAGATAGATAGAATAGATGATAGATAGATAGATATAGGAAAGATAGATAATGGAGAATAGAAATAGATAGATAGATAGATAGATAGATAGATAGATAGATAGAGATAGATAGAAAAATTTTTTATTATATATATATGAATTGTTAAATAATAGATAGATAGATAGATAGATAGATAGATATGTGGAAAATGAAGTAGATATGTGGAGGCTAAAATAGATAGATAGATAGATAGATAGATAGATAGATAGATAGATAGATAGATAGATAGATATGTGGAGACTGAGATAGATAGATAGATAGATAGATAGATAGATAGATAGAAAGTTTTTCGAATTAGATATGAATTGTTATGGCAGATAGATAGATAGATAGATAGATAGATAGATAGATAGATAGATAGATAGATAGATAGATAGATAGATATGTGGAGATTGAATTAGATAGATAGATAGATATGTGGAGACCGAAATAGATAGATAGATCATTAATAAATATGTGGAGACCGAAATAGATAGATAGATAGATAGATAGATAGATAGATAAAGAGAAAGATAAAAGTTTTTATTAGATAAAAATTGTTATGCTAGATAGATAGATAGATAGATAGATAGATAGATAGATAGATAATATGGAAAATGAAATAGATAGATAGATAGATGGATGCAAAATGATAGATAGATAGATAGATGAATAGATAGATAGATTGATTTGATTTTTTTTTATTTAGATGAATTGTGAATTGATAGATATAGATAGATAGATAGATAGATAAAATAGATAGATAGATAGATATGATAGATATTTAAAATGATATATAGATATGTGGGAGGCTAAAATAGATAGATAGATAGATAGATAGATGTTGGAGAAATGAGATAGATAGATAGATAGATAGATAGATAGAAAAATAGATTAAAATAGATATTACAAAAATTTCCATTTTTATTATATATGAATTGTTATGATAGATAGATAGATAGATAGATAGATATGCGGAGACTGAAATAGATAGATAGATAGATAGATAGATAGATATGTGGAGACCGAGATAGATAGATAGATAGATAGATAGATAGATAGATAGATAGATAGATAGATAGATAGATAGATAATTTAATCGTGTGGAGATTTAAAATAGATAGCCAGATAAAAAAAGATGTTAATATAGAGTGAAACACCGGGATAGATAGATAGATAGATAGATAGATAGATAGATAGATAGATAGATAGGATTTATATTGTCAATTAAAAATGAAAATTAGCATGAGAGATTTTTTACCAGGAGAAACCGATTATTAAAATTTGAAAATCGGCGGGAGCGAAAGTATAGATAAAGTCTTTTTCCTTCGTAGATTGCCATCTTTCTTCCTTACCCTGAAGCATTGCTGTCTGGGATTTTGGTATTTGATCCAAATAATAAACTTTAAATATCTGACTAATTTTTTTGATTCCTTGGGGAATGAAATATTTAAATTTTTTAAGTCTGTTGTAACAAAACACAACAGACAACACTTTCACACAACACACACAATTACTTACACACACACACATAACATATATATATATATATATATATATATATATATATATTAAAAATAAAAAGAAATTTTTTAATTTTAAGCATAATTTTTTTAACTCACATACAGATAGCTTAGATAGTAGAGTTATTTAGGTAAAAAATATTGATATATTTAAAAATTGGGCAATGATGACATTAATGGTTTGCAAGCTTATCTCGTTAGAACAATTTTGACTGAGTAATATTTCGATCCTCATATTTTTACTTTTGGCCTTGTGCGCCAAAATCGTTAATGATTTTACGCTAAAAAAAATCATTAAAAATTAAAAATCGAAGCGGTAAATGGTTTTCAAGATTTGTTCGCTAGAAAATTTCGACCGAGTAGTGAGTTCGATCCTCACTGGGTGCCCATTACTTTCGGCCTTTTGCCTTCTTAAATAACGCTTGGAAAATCATACAGTGTAATGGTATAAATTTGTCTTTTGAAGAACCTTTTCGACCGTTTTAGTGAATTCGATCCTCATTTTGCCTCTTTTTTCGGCCTTGTGCCACATCTTAGCTACGCTTGGAAAATCATTCAATGGGGCACCTCGAAGCGGTGTAATATAAATTTTTTGTCTCAAACTAGAACAATTTCGACCGAGTAATGAGTTCGATCCTCAATGGTGCCCCTTACTTATTTCAATTGCCACATCTTAGATAATTGGAAAATCATTTCAGTGTAATGGTTATTTCTTCAAAAATAGAACAGTTTTCGACCGAGTAGTGAGTTCGAAAATTCAATTTTTCATTTTAAAATTTTTTGGCCTTAGAAAATCAATATACGAGACGGATTTCGAAAAGTTATCGGTAAGTCCTTGATACCAAGCATTGTTCAAAGAGCAAAACATCAGAAATTTTCTTGAATATCTTTATGTTTGAAAACGCTCGTCTGTTCCAGATGTTAAATCTGGTATTATTATCAGATCTGGTATTTTACACGCCAGAAGAAACGATAGTCTTCAAATAAAAATGTCAAATTTCAAAGTATTTATTAGTATGTCAGAGATTCGTTAAACAACGTAAAAATTTAAATTTAGAAACAGTCAAGAGGATAATATTTTCAATATTTCTCATCTGGTATCCCCGTTATACGTGGTGTAACAGTAAAATTGTCCATATCGTGAAACAGCAAAATTGTCTAATTATTAGATTAAGATATAAACCATTGTATCTTAGAAATGATTAAATATATCATACTGGAATATTTCGAGGTTCTATTAACACTATTGTACTCTACTTTGCTCAATAAGAATATATTTAACTCAAAGTTGAAATGATGAATATTATCTTGCTGTTAAATTTGAACTTTTGATCCAGTTTTCATTTCTTTTTTTTTTTTTAAATTTATTCAATTATTTTTTTGAAAAAAAAACGGACTTTTAAAATTGAAACAAGTATGAAAAAGAAAAACCATTACTGAGGGCTGAATGATAAATTTCTCTCATTTCTGATAAAATTTGGCAATATATATATATAAAGGATGGTAAAATAAAAAAATGATTTTTAATCAATTCTCTTTCTAGCTGAATAACTAAAAGGATTTTTTCAGTGATTCTTACGACAAATGGTGTCAAGATGACTAAACGTCTTATCCTATAACCTGTAAAAAAGAAACTCACTAAGTTTATTGTTTTTTCTTAGATAATTAAACATTTTGTAGGATGAATAATTTTGGTGTTTCAAATATAGGTATAATTAAGAGATACTTCATAAAACCCAGATGAGAATATAACGTTATTATATATATTATATATATATTATATTTATATATATATATATATATATATATATCAGGTCATCCCATAAGTTCTGTCCGAATTTTAACTTTTTGTTAAAATGAATGAAATTTAAAAGAGTATTTTATAATGTCTAATGGAGCTGAACACATTTTTTTATGTTTAGATGCATTTAAACTGATCAAATTTTATTTCAGAGAACAATAAAAATTAAATTTTGTTTGATTAAAACCCTGATAACATGGAAGTATCCAAGAATCATTTGAGGCACATAATGCTTTATGAGTTCAAGAAAGGAAACTCAGCAGCCGAAGCGGCTAGAAACATTCACTCAGTTTATGGAGAGGAATGTGTGAATGAAAGAACTTGCAGAAGATGGTTTGCAAAATTCAGAGGTGGAGATTTCACCCTTGAAGATGAAGATCGAACCGGACGTCCAGTTGAGTTTGATGAAAAGCTTCTTGAAGCAGCCCTTGAAGAAAATCCTGCTTTATCAGTTGAGGAATTGGCAGTGGTTCTCAGTTCAAACCATACAACTGTTCATCGTCATCTTCAACAACTTGGAAAAAGTTCCTAAACTTGGAAAATGGGTGCCTCATGAATTGTCTGAAAACAACCTCAAATCCCTGAGTTGACATCTGCTCTTCTCTCCATTCTCGCCAACTTGTTTCACCTTTTTGGATAGACTTGTGACTGGCGACGAAAAATGGATCTTTAATCAAAATGTTAAGCGTCGTAGACAGTGGCTTGGTAAAGGGGAAGGACCCCAGCCACAGACGAGAATGGAACTACATGGGCAAAAGGTTCTTCTTTCAATCTGGTGGGATCGCCAAGGAATAATCCACTTTGAATTCTTACCACCTAATGCAACAATTAATGCTCAAATATTCTGTCAGCAATCAGAGCGTTTGAACCAAGCTTTGAGGAAAAAAAGACCTGCTCTGGTGAATCGAAAAGAGGTGATGTTTCATCAGGACAATGCGCGACCCCCACAGCAAGAATCACGTCACAAAAGATCGAAGAACTTGGTTGGGAGAAAATTCCTCATCCACCTTATTCTCCCGATCTTGCTCCTTCAGACTACCATTTGTTTCGTAGCTTACAGAATCATTTGGAAGAAACAGCTTTTTGTAACACAGGAAGAGGTTAAAACTGACATTTGTGAGTTCTTCGAATCAAAGCCAAAAGAATTTTACAGTAATGGAATTAGTAAGCTTGTTAATAGATGGAAGGAAGTCATAGATAATCAGGGAAAATACATTGTTGATTGAATCTGTAATTAAATGTAACATTTGGTCACTTGTTTTCTTTATTCAAAATTCGGACAGAACTTATGGGATGACCTGATATATTAAAACTTAATTAATGCCAACAAATCCGCCATATTAAAACTGAGTTACGAAAAATAAACATAAAAAAGCAAGAAACAAGTGAAAGAAGAACAAAAATAATAATAAAATAAATAACTATAAACAATATTTTTAAAAAAAGCATAATCAAGTCAGGTAAACAACAAGGCTTACATATTTTCGATCTTCACCCTTTGGAGGCAATCAAAGTATAGTAAATGTTGTAGAGTAGTTTTCACAGTGGAGGCTTGTATTTCACTAAGTCGGTCCTAAATTAGGTTCGACGTACAAAACGTTAGGAACTTGAAATAAGAGTTATTGACGAAGCAATCTAGTTGTGATGGTTGCTACTTCAATATCCGACAGACTCACTCAATACCACTGAGCCCAACTACTACTATTTATTATCTGTGGGAGAGTCTATTACAATAGAATAGGTATTATGGTATAACAACTCTTTGGAGGCAATCGAAGACAAGAATGTAATTGTGTGCACAGCGTTTAAAAACAAAAGTAAATAACAACATCAGTAGAGCAGAAAAAATTATACGATGGTAAGTCAAAAAATAGCCCCACATTTACCATAAGATATGATTAGATTTGCCATAATGCCTACTGCGCATGCGTGGTTTTAGTTGGTTTGGGGTCAACTTCCTGTTCCATGTTTTGCCTTCGTCTTATTTTCTTCTCTTTTGACTCCCTATTTTCATGTGCAAATTTTTTAAGCGATTTTATTTTATTTTTTTTTCATTCCCATTTTTCATTTTCCATTTTGCAGGTGACTTATTTTCCCGCCTGAAGAAAATTCAACATATTTTAATCTCACTGAAGACCTTAACAATAATCAGGACATTTCTCCCCAAACCGTATCGCTTTTTTTTATCGAGGAGCCGAGCTAAAATTCCAACGTTCTCTATTATACACACTTTCGCACAAATGCTTTTGGGAAAAGCGTTCATCTACGTCTCCTCTTTTACAGCTAAGGGGTAAATAAAATGTATCTATTACACTCACTCTTCACACAAATACACTTGGCAATGGTGTCCATCTGTCTCTGCTTTCTTATATCTATGGAGTAAAATAAAAGTATCTATTTCATTCACTTTCGCACATTTGTCCTTGGCAATGGCGTTCATCTGCCTTTCCTCCTTAGAGCTATGGAGTAAAACAAAAGTACCTATTGCACTCACTTTGGCATAATTGTCCTTGGCAATTGCGTTCGTCTGTCTCTCTTCCTTAGAACTATGGTGTAAAACAAAAATATCTATTGCATTCTCTTTCGCACAATTGCCTTTGGGTAGTGCGTTCTTCTAACCCTACTCCCTGCAGTTATGGGGTAAGATTATCCGTTACACTAGACGCACACCCAAGCTTACAGGACCTGATATTCCCAAATGGTCACCCATCTAGGCACTGAACAGCACACTAATCAAGGTTACTTGTTTGTTAAGGAAGTTTGTTTTATAGCTGTGGTTTTTGGTGGTAGCTACTAAAACAGAAAAAAAAATTACATATTTATATCTTTTGGTGAACTCAAATTTTCCCAGAAATTTTGATGGTGAAAACATCTGTTGTTCAAGGGACTGCAGATTTTGACAGGTGACAACATTGTTTTGTCTATGTTCTTAAAGCTTATCAGATGAATATGTAAAGTTGTTTTCAGAATGCAGATGGCATTGATGGTTGGCGATAAGTTAAAAACAAACAAGAACAA